AGCGGACCGCAGGTCAGCCGAGGTACACCGAGGTCACAGACAGCATTCCAATTAGATAGCTCTCATGATTCCATGATGTCAGCCTCAGTTTGGTCAACTTTAGAATCTACAAGCGTTTTGGATTTCTATTAGTCATTCTGACTAATAGAAGAAGCACCCAAGGGAAATATGGAGGGAAAAAATGGTATTTGTTTTTTTTTTTTGTTGTATTTTGTTTTTTGATTAATCAACCTTAAAAATTTGATAGAAGTAGCTTTTAAACAGGCTGTCTAAAAAAGTCTTTTCAGTCACTTTGTAGCAACAACACTCTCAGACTTCTACTGATGCAATAAATTAAGCCATTTTGCAGACAAATTCAAACTTAAGTGATCAAATTTAATAATAATTTATTAGTCTAAAACCTTTAAAGTTTTCTATCTTGAGGACTAAAGGTCTTGACCCAGGAAGTGATGTCACACATTTTCCATTCATTCGCTATTTAACTTATGCAACCGGCAAAGTTTGCGCATGTGAAATTTTGAGCTCGTACACGAGAAAGTAGAAACATGTTAAACTTTTGTCGCTGTCATCGTCGCGTCCCGTTTGTTGGGCTCACCTCGAGTGGCAGAAAACCTTGGCCTTTCACTGTCTGAATAGTTAATAACATTAGAAACTACCAAGGAAAAAGTAATGATAAAAATACTTTATTCTACTACATCAGAAAACTCTCATGAGAAAAATGTAACTTATACAACGCATCAATTTTAATGCAAAGGAATTTGGAGAAATTGAAAATAATGAAAAATAAAATAAAATAATGGAAACTGTCAGGAATGTTTAGAAAAATATCTTATCAGAGGTGTAGAGTACTCAGAAGTTGTACTCAAGTAAGAGTACAACAACTTCAGTATACTTTTACATTAGTAATCGTAATTAGGGATACAAATTTAGCTCAATATGATCAAACATATTGATGTTTGATCATCAATATGTTTGGTCACATGTCCAACATCCTACCCCTTCAGAAACTCAAACAGTGACGATACTGAAATAAACATCGGTTCTTCACATTGGCCCAGTTACACCTATCAGACTGATATCTATATGTTAAAAATAGCTACCACCAGGAAGATGCCGATATATCGATCATCCCTACTCATAACTGACACGATGAATCCAAGGCTTTCTCTGAATAATCCCCATTCACACATTAGCTTTAATTTCTTTTAATCCACTCATTATTTTAACATCTGCGGCAATACTGCTGAAGCTCTCCAAGAACCTACTGTACACGCACCGGTGGTACAGTAATAACAACAACAGTCTGATTTAAGTGAGTGGCGTTTCCAGCGGAGAAAGCCACTTATTGTAAATGAATGGTGTCTTTTAAAGTCCGTACGCTCAGGGTGCAGAGTGCAAACAGAAGCAGCGTGGTGCCAGGGTCACAGAGAGAGAAAAGACGTGCTGTACTGACTTCGGCTGCTTCAAATTATGCTGGTTTGCTCCGAGTTTCACAAGAAGAGTGTGACCAACAGATCAGACTGCGGATGCTTTTGTAGTCCGGTGCGCGCGTCTATGCAAAACCGGGGAAAAGCGATGGGAGAGAGGGAGGGGAAAAAAAAAAAAACTAATGTGGACACGCCAAAAAGAGACGAACACAAATCAAAACAAAGCACGCAAACACAAGAGAGATCCAGAGAATGAGGAAGACAGAGAGAACAGCAGAGTCCCATCTGTCAAACAAATGTGAGGATGCTCCTAACTCACACACACACACTCTGTTGCACACGCAGGCACACCACAGCAAGCATCATTTAGTCTGAACTTGAGCGATATCTGCATTTGTCCTTTAGCAGTGGCTCCTCGGGGGCCACTGTAGAAGTTGCATGGAAGTTTGTTTAGAGCTGAGCAAGTGTGTTAAGCTTTATGAGAGCCCATGGGAGACTCTGTGGCACACACACACACACACGCACACACATATCTACACACAAACATGCAGAAGCTCAGGCACGAGGCTTGGGCGGCAGCTCACAGTGGCCCCAACCAATAGTGAGGAGTTTGTTGTCATAGCAACAGTAAAATGAGATGACTTTACTGTCAGCCGTAATGTTTCATGGCCCCCTTGCCGCTATGGCAACATAACAAGGAGGAGGAAGAGGAGACGGGAGAGAAAGAGAGCATCAGAGGCATCTCTGCATTCCGGTGGACTCCTACCAGGAACAATGTCACTGCGATGTCCTTTCTTCCTCCTCAAGACAAACACAGTCACAAACACACCACCCCGACAAGCCTGTCAGAAACAGGCATCAACACACACACACACACACACACACACACACACTCACACCCACAACTTGAAAAGCCTATCAAACGCCCCCCTCTTCCACCTCGCCCATTGCTTTGATTTGCCCGCTCACTATTTTCAGCTCCGGTGCCATATCGTCACCGGGCCCCCAATTTGAATTCATTATGCTCAATGTCAATATTGGTGCAACAACGGCGTACCTCAAGACAGGTACAGCTTGTTGAATGAGCGCGTGCGCTTGTCAGACAGCGGGAGAGGCGAAACGAAGAGGAGGAGGAGGGGGGAGGAGGAAGGAGAGACGAGCGAGATCAAAGAGCCACACCAACTCCTGCTAAGCGTTTTCCCTTCGCCGTGGAGACGGCGGGGAAGCAGCGGAGCGGAGGGGTGAGTGACTGCGGGCCGGCCCCGGCTATATGCGGCGGCTGTGCATCACAGCTCTATATTTAGCTCAGTCCTTCCACGATGGCCTGTCAACACCGCTAAGCAGCTATCTGTGCTGATAAAAGTGTGAAAAACGGAAGATAGGTGGAAGAGGAGCAGACACATATGAGGGGAGGAGGAAGGACAGGAAGAAAGAAGAAAAAAAAAGGCAGACGAGAGTGGAGATGAGTTGTTTTGCTCTGTCGCCATGGCGACGCGGCAGCCGGAGCTGTGGCGCGCTGACAGTTGTCACGCTGCGGCCGGTCGCCGTGGGTGACAGCTGTCAGTCAGCGGCGCAGAGTGAGGGGGGACAGATCGGCCGATGATCACCTTGGATTAGAGAGCGATCGCAGCATACAGAGAGAGGCCAGAACATATCAAGGCTTAATCCTCATGTCCTAATGGTGCTGCTGTGTGGCTATCCCTGTGTACATCCATGCACTGATAAAACAAACTGGTAGAATTCAACCCAAATAATGGGTCGGTCTCTATCTGTGTTTCTGTAATACATTTGATCTACTTGCTTAAGTTGTCAGCGCTTCTCTGCTTAGGGTTCAAATGTAGGAACCATGCAGACGGTTCAGCTGTGGAAAATAAATACATTTATTATTACCACACCAACATGTCTTTAATTAAGAAAGTTGCATCTGTCTACATCAGCTGTTTTGGAGTTTCTCAGTGACATCTTAACTTCCACTGCGTGAAGCATCTTCTGCTGCATCTACTGCAAACATCCCCTATTATTTTACAAGTGAGGAGATTATTTATTAATCGATAAGTCAAGTGTATTTGCATAACACGTTTCAGCAAACAAGGCAGTTCAAAGTGCTCTTACATCATAAAAAAAACGAGTAAGAAGTCATAAAAACTGCATACAGTCAACAGTTAGCTATTTATTGCTGTGTGCACAGCTGTTTGTTTTTAAATTGTTGAAACAATAGTTACAGTTGACAACGTCTGAAATTGTTGCGTCCTGATTTACTTCACATCCAGTCTGCGTAAGAAAAACATGATAAAATGTGACTCAAAGATGTCACGTTAACTTTTTGTATCATTTTTGTCCAGGTCAACTTAAAAAGTGAGCTATTAGTGCAACAGAAAATTTGGGACTTTGTTGAGATCTGATATTAATACTGCTGTTTTGACAGTATTGACCAATATAGTACTCTTTTAAAAACATTTTATTACTCAATTAATCGTCAGAACTAAACGCGGAGAAGTTGCATCCAGTTTTTATCCTCCACTAATCTAGAAGGACTGATGTTTGAGATCTAAAGAAAGCCAATACTTTGAATTAAACCAGTATTGAAATTCACAGTTACAAACTACTATCCTTGATTACAACATGAATATTTCATTGTTTAAATTGAATGCCAGGCAAAACTCCTTTTTACAGTGTATGCGCTTTAGCTTTCATTCATGTTTGCGTGGGTGTTGCTTTATGCGTGGACGCGTGTGTGTGTGTGTGTGTGTCTCTGTTCTCAGGCTCCGAGCGGGCAGAGCAGATTAGGTTTTAGCTGGAGTTGCTGCCGGGCGCCTTCCCACAGCTGTCTGCGCTAGAGGACAATCAAAGGCCCAGTTGCGCGCCTTCTTCTGATTGTGGTGTGACGCTCGGGCCCGTTCCCCTTCAATTACCGCGCTCTGCCTGCGTGTAACGAGCTCAGCATTGCTCTTATGCTGGCAGGATAATGGTCTGATTGGAGCAGGGATGGATTTGAACTCACACTTTAATTTGTTTCTTTTCTTGGTAAATTACCCCCGATCACGATCATGTCTCGTCACAGATATCCCGCTGTGGAACTAAGTCTCATCATTTGGACGCCGTTCCTGATGTTGTAAAATCCAGGAATTTAAGAAGGGTTTCTTTTCTGCTCTCAATTATCGCGCCAACCCCTGACAATTATATTTTCTCGTGCTGCAGAGATGTTAAATCACCGGCACAGTTTCTGAGGCCCCTGCAACCATTAGACCTTTAACTGTTTTCACGTGTTATGACAGCAACCCCGTGTAATGTCAATACTGTGCTGTTACACTGGTAATTAGAGGGGTGGTTGTACAAGGAAAGATTTCCTCAGCCGCTGAAGCACTAAATTTGCCACACCAGTCGGAATTAGACGGAAGGCCTCGGAGGGAGATGATGATGCAGATTTTCCCTCTCAGATGTAATTCTGCCTAATTGCAAAAGGAGTCAAAATCTCCTTTTTGACTTTTAGCGAAAGGGAAGGCTTAATAAAACACCGACAAGCTGACCTTTTTTCTACTCTTTCTGTTTCCTTCCACCTTTGTCGCTTTGCAGGAGTGAGCCCTGGGCTGGATGGGACCCACCATGCCCCCCAGTAAGAAGGCCCAGAGCCCCAGCAGCGGGGCCAGCGCTTCGCAGGGCATGAGCCCGCCCTACCGGCAGGGGGACCCCGCCACTGCGGCGTCCGAGGCCGAGGCGGCCGACCTCTCGCTCTCCCTGTCCGCCTCCTTCTCCAAAGCCGAGGACGAGGAGCTCACCAGCCTCTCCTGGCTCCACGAGAGCACCGACCTCCTCAACAGCTTCAGCCACTCCGGGCTGCGTAGCGTCTCCCCTCTGCAGGATCCCGACAGTCAGCACCCACGCTCGCCTTCCTCCTCGTCGCCGTCCCCGGACGACGTGTTGCTCGGCGACGCGCACTCGGCGTATGACCTGGCGGCGGGGGCCAACCGGAAACCGCCGTACTCCTTCAGCTGCCTGATCTTCATGGCCATCGAGGACGCGCCCAACAAGCGGCTGCCGGTGAAGGACATCTACGGCTGGATTCTGGAGCACTTCCCTTACTTTGCGAACGCTCCGACGGGTTGGAAGAACTCGGTGCGGCACAATCTGTCGCTCAACAAGTGTTTCAAGAAGGTGGACAAAGATCGCAGTCAGGTAAAGAAATCAACAACTCTTCATACACAGGTCCAGGTTAAAACCTTAGGTGTGTTTATTGGGTTTTAATCAAGTGAACTAAAATGATGTGAAGGTTTTGAAGTTCCAGGTGACTTCTCAGATCAATTGTGTGAAATAGTTTTTTTGTAAAAGTAGACAGACAGTATTTGTAAATATGTTGGGAAAGTGAGCGGAAATGTTCCAAATACACTGAAATGAGATGCAAACAAATTTTCGGAATAGTGGAGCTTATATTTATAGCACATTTCAGCAACAGTTCAAAATGCTTTCTAACATAAAAACATATTACAGTAACCAGTCATGCAACAAACATGGACATTAGAACTGGGGTGATGTGTTTTTTCTTCCTGGTTTTAGTCAGAACTCGATCAGCAGCTTTCAGAAACAGACGCAGCTGTCTGATTGGTTTTCTATGCAGATCTAAAAAGTCATATGCAGTGGCATAATATCATTATTATGTTTGAAAAGTATTCATAATTCTTAAACATTTCAACATATTGTCACGTTACATCAAACTTTTACATGTTTTATTTGGATTTC